GCCCATTTATTTCGTGTCGTGCTTGGCATGGTCTGTCAGTTTTTGTGTCGTGTCGTGCAAGCCCATTTGTTACTTTTGCTAGGCCCGGCTCAGGTTTCAATCGTGATGTGCCTACTCGTGCTCGTGTCATGCTCATATTTGTGTTTAACGAAAATTAAGAAAATAAAAGGGGAAATGAAAAGAAGGAGAAAATTGGACGGAGAATAAAAGTATTAACCTAGAATGTTTGAGAAACGTAACAACAAAGGGGGAAAGAAAATTGGAAGTAAACGAGTGTGAAGTTACTTTGTTTAATTCTTCGCCCCGTTTTTTGTTATGGTAGTAATTACATATATATCTTAATGATTGTCAAGAAAGATAAACTATAGAAGCTCACTGGAATTCTCACACAACTCATAGATAGTTTGAAATTGAATCTGAAACCTCACAATCCTACATAAAATGTTCAATGCTCTCCTTTAGGAATAATATGTCACTAATCAAAAAGAAACGGGGAGTTGTGGATTCAAATCAACTATGTACTAACAGCTCAACTAAAAGACGTTCGTCAAAACTTGAGAGCAAATGACAAAATTAGGGTTACCTCCAATATACTAATAGACCCGATCAAAGTAATAAGGCACAAAAGTAGATGCTCCTTATCTATCAGTTCGAGTAGGTTGAATAAAGAAGCGACCTACTTCAGTAAATAAATCAATGATTCCTCATTTTAAGATAGAAATAGGTTGTGGTAGCTGCAAAACTCATAAACCTAAAGATCCAATAGCCACCACTCTCTGTTGTACAACCAAATTTTTATCCACTCTATCTTCAATCTCAAGAGACATATATTACTAGTGTTGTCAAACCCAGACCGGGCAACGATCCGAATTAGTGAGAGGTTTAAGGTTTATCGGATAACCAGTGTTTAACCGATATAAAACCGATTCTAAAACCGGTGACATATAGTTTTTTTAAATAAAATAAGAATGTCTTCATTATACATATGAAAATTAGTTCTAGTGTTTCAATTATGAATTCTAATCTTATTAAAATATTAAATTCAAGAATTCAAGATTAAAAAGTATAATCATAGTACATATGAAATAAATAAAAATATATAAAAGATTAAAAATTACTTCTAGTAATTAATTTGAGAATTCTAATATTATTAACATATTTAATTCAAGAATTCAATATTAAAAGATAAAATCATAGTGCATATAAAATAAATAATAATATATAAAGATTGAAAATTTGATTGAAGGGATGGGGTTCTTACCTTTTTTTGTCTTGACCAATGACGTTGGCCAATTGTGAAATTGGAGAAATTGAAAATTAGAAGAAAAGGTAAGGAATTAGTGAAAGATGAGAGAACGTAAATTGTGATTTGGGGAAAGAATTGGAATAGAAAAGATAAAGATAGAAAGTATAATTGTGAAAAGTGGTTGGATGGATGAGTGTAGGAGAAAGGATAAAAATGGGAAAGTGATTAAGAAAATGAAGTATTTCCCTTTTCATAACAATAGAGGAAGGGGGATGAAAAGTAAACCGTATGTTATAACCGCGAGTTCGGGTCATCCGGGTTTGCCAGTTATCTGGTAAAATTGGTCACATCCGGCCGGCAGTTTTCTTCCCGTTTTCAAGCAATCGAAACCGGAAGTCTGGGTGGATCCGGTTAACCGCGGTCGTACCGTCCGATCCATCCCGGCTTTGACAACAATGTATATTACAACAAAAAATTCACTTTCTAATCCTCCTTCTGCAACTCTATTTCTGCTACTTTGATGGACCTTCTCTCTATGACCCTCAATTTCTCTTCCAATCAATGCAGTTAAAAGCGTGTACTACCTATAAGCGGAAAAGGGGTAAAATCGTAAATGGTAGAATTAAAGCATAAAAGCGTACATTTTTACTCATACTGTAAAATAACTAAAAATATGTTAAGTACGACATATGCTATGTAAATTATGAGTGCACAAAATTTAGATAAGTTAATAAATATCTGCAATTCATGCCTAAAGTAGAGCACCTTATAGCCTCTTAATAATAAGTTTATAAACATAAATCTTAACAATAAGTCATTTTCCTTGATGCTAATGAATTTGGGAAGAGCCTAGATGGTGAGTTAGATTACTCTATTGAAGCTATGAATGCATCTAAGTACCTAGTATGTATCTTTTAAGGTCAAATGTATCATATTAATGGTGATTTACCTTTAAAATATACTTTTTATAAAATTAATTTTATGAAAAAAATACCCATTTAGTGAACTAAAAGAGTAAACGTGTAAAGCGTTTCGGTGAACTAGAAGCGTAATAGCATATGCTTTTAAGATTTAAAGAGCAATTTAGTTCAATTCTATACACTAAAGTTTTTATATGGAAACGAAAGCGTTTTGGTGACCTATAAGTGTAAAACCGTAAGTTTTTAAGTTTTAAAGCGCAATTTTGACTACATTGCTTCCAATTGGGGTTCTTGTAAACTCGCTCTTCAACTCCTCAATCCTATTCACATGTTTTGCCAACTCATCTTTCTCAGGGGAATTTGTAATAAGCTCGCTAAAACCAACACTCATCTCCCCTTGACTGCCTTCACCTGCTTCAGTCCACTTCCACACCCTAAAAAACCCTCTTCATTTTCATTAGTATCCTCATCATCTCTCACTTCTCTCTTTTCAAATGTTCAAGTTTCACTTCCATGTTTTTCAATACACTCGTCAATTTGATCATTACCCTTAACAACTCCCTCTTCTCTGCCTTCACCTCTGTAGGTGAACTTTACATGCTTCCAAATCCAATCACAATTTCTTCTCCTCCCACTCGTCATTATGGCTTGCAATCATATATTTAGATTAATAGACACTAAAAACATCAGCAAAATGAACAGTGTCTAACTAATCCTAAAACAATATCAAAACTAGACAATTACCAATTAACCTTAAGAGAAAATTAAGGAGAAACTTAGTGGGCTTGCTAAACATGATGAGAAATTCCTCAGGTTTTCAGAGTTTAACTTCATATATGTTTTACATTAAAAAAGATACAACAAATTCATGTAGTGTAATTGGTTATGATTGTTGTCTTTGTTTGAAAAGACCCAAGTGCAAATCATAATATTGATATTTTTTATATGAAACAAATAATTGATTCTAAAGACAAAAATGTCATTCTTACTTTCACTCTCCTTGCGGGAAATTTGAAATAAAAAAAAGTAGATAAAACTCTAATATATATTATTGGAAGATATATAACTTGAGTTATTTCCGGCTCGAATGAAAGAAAATAATTCACAAATTTGCATCGAAGTCACCGTAAACAAGCTATTGGGCCGTGTGCCTTACAAGTAAGGCTTGGCCCGATTTTGTTGGTCTGTCCTGGATTGTACGTGTTTAAATGGTGTGATCATCGAGTATTTGGATAATTGAATTTGATTAATTTGAATAATTTATTTGATTAAACTTTTTAAATCATTTGATTTAGCTGGTTTGATTTTGTTTCAGACACTGCTAATCAATCAAATCCATTCATCAATTAAGCAATTAGTCATATATATAATCTATTACATATTCATACTTTGCATAACCACTCAATAGTCAAGCGTTACTCCCTTTTAGACCCATCCGGAAAATAAAGATACTATTATTCCTATACTGTAATTTATTCTCGTAGAATGTAGACAACATATGAGCACCTAATTTCTATAAAACTCATACAACATGATGGATGAAAACCTGAAAAGGAATGAATTTTCCACACTCTAATAATTGCAAAGTGACTAAGACCATTCACAAAGACACATCCAATTCATTTAGCTCATGTGTTTTTGTTAGGTAGTTATTTCTAAGTTCCAACTCTAAGATAACTGTATTAGTTGCATGCATTTATATTAATGGTTAACTATGTGTTGGTTTCTATATTTTATTCATTATATAAATTGCGAATTGATCAGATTGATTATGATATTGTATTCCATGGTTAAGAGAATTTAGAATTAATTGGTTTTGTAATTACTATTGCAGCCGTTTGAACATCCCTATTGGACGTGGCCCATCGACATTGAGGAAAACCAAGCTCATGACATTACTTAGTAGCTAATACATGCTATGTTTTTAAGACCGGAAGTTGTATAGAAAAAGTTAGTGATATATGGTTCAACGGTTAATCATTATAAAACCATTGGTTAGTCGTTGATAGAACTGTTCATGCGCTATAACTAGGGATGGCAATGGGTCGGGTTGGGTCGGTTTTGCCAAACCCAAACCCAAACCCATGGGTTTATCCGTGAAAAAAACCCGGGGTAAGCCCACCGGGGCTGAAAAACTCAAACCCAACCCGTTGGGTATCCGCGGGTTCATGGGTACCCACAGGTTTTCGTCGTAAAAAATTTACAATAACAAGTTCCTGTCAAAATTAAAGTCAAATATCAATCTCTCAATACAAATGATCATATATAAAACACTATTCTAGAAAATTCAAGCAAATCACAAATTAACTATAAAATTGTTCAACACAAATCTAGAAAACTCAAGAAAATTGAAGCCAATCACAAATTATCCATAAATAACATGATTAATTGAAAGCTTCTTCATTTCAATTAAGTTTCTTCACTCTTCGCTTGATAACATCAACTTCATTCTACACAAATAGAAAGAAAAAAATTAGACATGTCTCCACAAACATAAATAAGATTAGTTGTTTAGAATATTAAATATACCGAGAAAATTAATTATATGGGTGTGGGCGGGTACTCATGGACCGGGTTTACCTAAACTCAAACCCAACCCAACCCGGTGAATAGTGAACGTGTTTAAACCCAAACCCGGCCCAAAACCCGTCAACACGGATTTTACCCGCGTTGACCGGGTTGGGTCGGGTAGGTACCTGTGGGTTCGGGTTTTGTTGCCATCCCTAGCTATAACGTAAAAGAAAATATCTAATATACTAATTTAATACTGAACTGCTCATGCGCTATAACATAAAGTCATATATAATACAATAATTTAACCATAAACAATTTTACACTTATATCATCCGCCAGTAAAAGTTCTAACAAATCATTCAAACAATCTCAAAAAAGACAACATAATTTTTTAGTAGTTCAAGTTAATAATCAGGGTGCTAATCCATAATAGACCACAAAAAATCACCAAGAAGGCTGAGAAATGAAGAAAAAGAAGCACAAATAAAATTAGTAATTGATGTTGGATAATCTTAGTTTACGTTAAAGTATTTTGTTTAGGGGCGAAGCTACTTAGAGTCTAGGGTGAGCCGTGACCCCGGGAATAGCCAGACCCCTAGGAGCTTTAGGGATATTTAGAAAAACAATTTATAAGTAGGACTCAACCGACATTATGATGTGTAAAAGTCATTTAGTCTGATACTTGTTAAGCCATGCTTTTGGTATGGAGCACACAAGTTCGATACTCAGGTAGCTCACATTTTGCTTTATCCACTTTTTACTAGTGTTATTAAAGCTTATCCGAGCCGGTCGGTCGGACCGGGACTCGAACATCGTTCTGGTTCGGATCGCCTCCAAAATCGCAACGGTTAGAAAGGCCGACAGGTGAGCGACCGAAACGGCTAACCATTCGAGCCGCTCAAACCGCCTGACCGGTTTTTGGTTTTGGCTTAAAATTATTTAAAAAAAAGGAAACTCGATGGATCTCGAGTTGTTGTCTCTGCCGCCGTTGTCATCAGGATTATTCACTGCCTACCTCGCGTCGCCATTTTCAGAAAGAAAGAGAGGAGAGGTCAGTGAGTGGGGTTTGGGGAGACATCGTGAGCTCGTGAGGGTTGATCCAGCAGCGGGGTTTGGGGAGGAGGTTGGAGGAAGGGTCGATGTTGGTGCGGTGAGGAGGACGGCGACGGTGTGGGGAGATAGAGATGTGAAAGGTTGGGATGAGCGGAAGGGATGAGCTGTGAAAGAGATGTGAAAGCCTGAAGGTGGGGAATGTGAAGGAAATCAGAGGGAGAGAGTGGATGAGCGGCGGGTGGGGTGGGGATTATGGATTTTTTAGTGCTTATACTTTATATATATATGTAAAATTACTAAGCGGTACCTGCAAAGTAAATTTCCCTTTAGCTATTGAATTGTTAAGTTATTGTCTTTTGTGTCTTGTACTTATTATATTATATCATTGTTTATAACCTATCGGTTCTCTAACGATTTTTAACGGCTCAATACCGGTTGGACCACTAAAGTGCGAGTCTTTCAAATTATCGGGTCATGCTCCAGTTTGGTTTTGACAACATTGTTTTTTACCCTAGATCAAAGCAAACGGAAACCATGAGAAAGTTAACCTCTATTTAATATTTTGTGGGCAATTTTTCGAATTGAAATTTCAATCATTCTTCTTTACAAAAACTATATAATTTATTTCTAATCTATGTCAGTATTGACAGAGTAAGGATTGTCAAATGAATTATATTTTGTGGTTGATTCACTTTCTTATGAGTCTTCCCGTTTTCATTGCTACAGCCTACAGGTGATCATGCATTTTTTCGTTGAACGTGATCGTGCATTTCGGCTTTGAAGATAGTGAAGAATAAACTGCGAAAGAAAATGAATGATTAGTTTCTTGTTAGTGGTTTAGTTATTTATATTAAAAGAAAGATAACGAATATTTTTAGTTTAAATGTTATTTTGAGTGATTTTAATTATCTCAAATAAAACGTCATGTACTTTTAAAATAATAATTTTAATTTTGTTTATATTTAATTATTTCGACCCATCCGGTCTCGAAATCCTAACTACGCCCGTGATTTGTTTCTCCATTTTTCTTGATTACATTAGTGAACCAGTGGTACTATCAAACTACTGTAGCTCATAAGATTTTATATCAAACTATTTGCTCCATCTTTAATTGTCCAAATAACAAATGAATCAAATAGCTATTGTCAGTTTGTAACTAATTTGGTGGGTTTACTAGCTCAATGGCTGATCTCCTTGTTTTTTTGGAGAAAGGATATATTAATATATATACATACGTCTTTTCCTTTTTCAATATATCGGACACATTCTGGAAGAGTCATCAGCTGATCCCACCCTGCTGCAGACTACATTATCTCCTCTGGATTCGCATGTGCATACAGCATTCGTGACCTACCTACCAGTCTCCCTCTGCAATAGATAACAAATAAATATAACCCACGCCATGGACAACACAACACTCACTTCAAAATTCAAATACATTCCCCTTAACAATAAAAATAAAATAAAGTAAAACCCCAATCCCTCCCCAACAATGTCTACCGACATCGCTCAGGACTTCTCCCCACTGATCCGGATCTACAAAGACGGCCGCGTCGAGCGCCTGCTGGGAACCGCCACCCTCCCCGCCGGCCATGATCCCACCTCCGGCGTTGTCTCCAAGGACATCGTCTACTCAACCCAGTCAACCCTTTCCGCCCGCCTCTACGCCCCGCCCTCCGCCATCTCCGCCGGGAAGAAGCTCCCCCTCCTAATCTACATCCACGGCGGCGGGTTCTGCATCGAGAGCCCTTTCTCCCCGATCTACCACGCCCACCTCAACGCCTTGGTCGCCGAAGCCCAAATCGTCGCCGTCTCCGTCGACTACCGGCTGGTCCCCGAGCACCCGCTCCCTTGCGCCTACGATGATTGCTGGGCCGCGCTCAAATGGGCTGTGGCCCACGCCGGGGGATCCGGCCCGGAGGAGTGGCTGAACGCGTGCGCCGATTTCGGGAGGGTGTTTGTGGCCGGGGACAGCGCCGGCGCCAACATCGCCCACCGCGTCGCCATGAGGAACGCGGAGGAGAAACTGATTGAGCTGTGGGGCCTTGTGCTTGTGGATCCGTATTTTTGGGGGGAAGACCAGATCGGGGATGAGCCCAAGGATGAAGCGGGCCGGGCCCTGCCTTCCGGGTTGTGGCGGCTGGCGAATCCGGGTTCGAAGAACGGGTTGGATGACCCGGAGATAAACGCTACCGCCGACCCGAAGCTGTCGGGTCTGGGTTGCCGGCGGGTGCTGGTTCTGGTGGCGGAGAAGGACTCTCTAAAGGACAGAGGGCGGCTTTACTGCGAGACGCTGGGGAAGAACGGGTGGCCCGGGAAGGCGGAGATCCACGAGGCGAAGGGGGAAAACCACGTCTTCCATCTCTTCGATCCGGCGTGCGAGAACGCAGCGGCGAGGATGAAGCGCACCGTTTCGTTCTTGAATGAAGGAAAAGATGGATAAGGAGAGGAATAAACATGAGGTTTCAATTAAATAATAATAATTAAAGAGGTTTGAAATAATTGCTGATGCTTAATCTATTGCAGCTTCTCACTTTTAAATTGGACTTGTAATTTTTGTCTGTTTGTTTAACGTGGGCTTCATGGAATTATCAAATTACTAGACAGATTAATAAAAAAAGGTTACTTTTGTTAATAGTACTAGCATCTTTGACGGCGTTACTCGTTCGGGTATGCGTTAAATAAACTTATTATTGATTGATATCACATAAATATATTATTGAGTTTTTCTCTCGATTTGATTCTCAAAGTAAAAGTAGCAAATATGGGTAAAATATCTCGGGTATCACTTAAATTTAAGAATTGGGACATACATGCCACTTAATTTTGAATAGTGCGTCGGATACCATTAAAGTCACCAAAAGGTGGATCCGTCTATTTTTCCATCCAAGTCAAAATTTTAATTAACTTTTGGTGCTCTGCCTATCTGGGTTAGATTCACAAATGTGTCGTTGGAGTATTTAATTTTCAAGGTTTGAGTCGAATGGGAAGTTGGCTTGGGATCCCGCTGGGTGTTGATCACACTACGAGGATGGGTGGTCGTCTCGGCTGTGCGAAGGCTCTTGTAGAACTGAAAGCTTCGGGTGAGTTTCCTGATCATGTTCTTATATGGCCAACATAGGATCTTTCAATCAGGGTGGGTGTGGCTTATAGCCATCTGCCCCCTATATGTGGGCACTGCCAATCCTTTGGTCTCAACTGTGGGTGTGGTAAGCAGTCTCGTGCTCTGAAAGATAAAGGAAACCAGGAGAGTAAGGAAGTGGAGCGTATCTGGGTAAGGAAGAAGACTGGGGGTGATGAAACTAAGAATAACCCTGACCATAATAGTGGCAGTCCAGTCATGGTGGATAAGGGGAAGAGTGTGGTATCTGCAGGCTCTCTACATCGTTCTAGTCTTATGATTGGATCAAACTGTGTTGGTATTAATCTGGAACATACTTTCCAGTCAGTTGTCGAGTGCAGTTCGCCACAGCTACCAACATAGGATGAGTTTCAAAGGGTGGTGAATGGAGCAAAACCTAGATACTGGTCACCTCTTTCTAGTCCCCCCAGTGTGCTGCAAACAACTCAAGCTTTTGCTAACTGCAGGGATTAGGAGATATGGGGATTACCCAGTTGCAAGCTGCTCCAAAGAAAGGTGGTAGAAAGGGTGGAGGATCTCAATCCTCCCCAGGATGAAGATACTATTCTAGAACGTTAGAGGGTTTCACAAGTCATGAGGAAGTACAAGGTGGATGTGGTGGCAATACTTGAAACAAGGGTAAGAAAGGCAAAATCTGATGAAACTGTAGTGAATTTCTGTGTAGGTTGGAAGAAGTATCTCAACTATGTTGACAGTGATCTAGGTAGAATTTGGTTGTTCTGGGATCCAGATATTGAACTTAGAGTGCTTGCGCCCATGAAGAATTATGTGCATTGTGTGGCCAGGGAATCTAGTGGTGCTAGTTGTTTCATTACTGCTACATGTGCGTCGAATGATGAGATAGAAAGAAGAGAAACCTATAAAGACCTGGCTAGGTTCAAGTTAACTTCTGCCCCTTGGATTGTTGGAGGGGATTTTAACTCTGTCTTGTCCCCTGTGGAGACTTCTAATTTGACCATGGTTAGCAGCTGTATGTTGGATTTCAAAGGTTGGGTTGATGATATGGAACTGGTTGATCATAGTTCGAGTGGTCCTTTCTTTACTTGGACGAACAGGCAAAAGGATAACCCTATTGCCAGGAAACTCGATCGTGGCCTTGTTAATGAAGCTTGGTTTGATGTCTTTCCTAGTTGTGGTATTGATATATTGGTAGGGGCTTTCTCAGACCACTGTGGGGTATGTGTTGATACAAAACCAGGGCAAAGGACTCTACCTAAGCCTTTTAAATATTTTGAGCTTTGGGCTGGTCATCCTGACTTCCACAAAATTGTAGAAGAGGGTTGGTCTACCCCTGCTCAAGGAACCCCGTTGCTGGTTGTAATGACTTAGCTTAATGCTGTCAAGAAGGGGCTGAAGAGGTTGAATAAGGAAGTGTTTAATGATATTAGTGGGCAGGTGAGATCAGTAGAAGGGCAATTGCTTGCTGCTCAAGAGTTGGCTCTAACCACCCCATCTGGTGATAATTTTGCTAAAGTAGAATCCCTGAATACACAACTTGTGAAACTGAAAAAGGATGAGGAGAGATTTTACTGGCAGAAGTCTCGGGCAAACTACTTGAAGCTTGGGGACCAAGGTACCAGATTCTTTCATCAATCAGTTAAGATCAAAATTGCTAGGAAGGCTATAAGGAAACTAGTGCTTGAGGGGGGTGAGGAGGTAGTGGAGATGGACAAAATTGCTGATGAAGCGGTAGAGTTTTATAAAAATTTATTTGGATTCATTGATCCAGAGGTAAAACCTTGCAGACAGCAACTGGAGGGGCTGGTAACACACAGACTGAGTGATGAGTAGAGGGATTCCTTGTGTCATGGTTTCACAGCTGATGATGTGAGAAGAGTAGTGTTTAGCATGAATACTCATCGAGCCCCTGGCCCTGATGGGTTTTCGGCTGGCTTTTATAGGCGCACATGGGGGGTTGTAGGAGTGGATATCCTTGCTGGGATCCTGGAGTTCTTCAATACAGGTAAACTTCCTAGTAGTATTAACTCAACTGTTGTGTCCTTGATACCAAAAGTCGCTTCTGCTTGCAAGTTAAAAGAGTTTAGACCAATCTCCTGTGTGAATAACATTTACAAAATCATTGCCAAGCTGCTAGCAAACAGGCTGAGGAATGTTCTAGCTAGTGTGGTTAGTGGGAATCAGTCTACTTTTATTGAGGGGAGGAGGATAGTTGATAATATTTTAATGGCACAAGAACTTGAGAGTGGCTACCATAAAAGTAATCTGTCTTCTCGTTGTGCTAATAAAGTTGACCTCATGAAAGCGTTTGATTCAGTTCACTGGGGTTATCTGTTTCTCATGATGGAAGTGATGGGATTCCCCTAGAGGTTTATTTACTGGATTAGGCTCTGTGTTAAAACAGCAAAATTCAGTATTTGTATAAATGGTGGACTGTGTGGGTTCTTTGGAGCACAGAGGGGGGTGAGGCAGGGCGATCCCCTCTCACCTTACTTGTTCACAATTGCAATGGAGGGGCTTTCTCTTCTCCTGAATCGAGCTGCAGCAGAAGGGACCCTAGCTTTCCATCCTCAATGCAAAAAAGTGGGGTTAACCCACTTGTGCTTTGCTGACGATCTTCTGATCTTCTGACTCACTTCTACTGTCACTCCAGGAATTGGCCAAGTGAAACCACTTCCTAAAGCGTAGTATAGCGAGCTAGGTTTATATGTCAACCCGGGTCCTAGATCTGATGACTACTTAGTGAATTCTTGTTATCTAGCAATGAAACTGGAATGCAAGTCTAAACTATCAAACTAACAAAGCAAGTAAACTGTTGTATTTAGGTTAAGAGAGGTCACCCGGATATGGTTCCCCCTAGACTGCAGTTAAGCCGGATTGTAATTACCAAGTTCAGTTTCTATGATAATTATACTGCGGAAGGTTCTTAAACAGCCTGAAGTCTCGACTAAAGGTCTTCAGACCCTCTCAATCTGAGTCTCTAGCGGGCGACTAACCTCCATCGGAGTAAACAGATTGAGGCCCTAAGAACAAAACCTCCACTACCGAAGTGAATCCGGTACAGAATAGTGAGTTGGCTCCTCGACTAAAGTCACCAACTCCCTACCTTTAATCAAGGATGCTCTATCAACCTAGGCAGATATTCTCATTCTAGGTTAAAGCAGAAACAACAGGAATTTGATCAGGATTCAAGTCATTCAATCATTCAAACCTCAATCGAATATAATCAAATCATAGAATCAGTACTTGGGTTCATACAATCAAAGCCTAACATACAAATCTAGGGTTCTCCATACCCAGATGAATGGGAGAACTACTCCATGGAGAAAGAAGCAAAAGCAGAATCAGACGCGGAATTCATACTGTGGAGGATGGATTCCTGCTCCTGGATGTTGATCGGCACTTCTCCAAGCTCAAACTGGCCTCCAATGGTGATGAAGATCAAGCTAGGGCACTTGGAGACTCTTGTTCGTCGCTTTCTCTCTCTAGGAATCGTTCTCTCTCTCAAAAACTCGAATCCCCTTCTGTATGGCTGAAAATCTGCTTGAAAGCAGAAAATCCCGACTCGCACGGGCAGGCCGCACGACCGTGTGGCTCACCCAGTTGCCCGTGCGAGTCAAAACGCAGCGCATCAATTAGTTGAATTCCAGGCTTCTTGCACGGGCAGGCCGCACGGCCGTGCAGATCACCTTGCACGGCCGTGCAGCAGATTTTCTGCTCTGCCCGTGTGGCTTGCTCAGCCTCTGTTTAATGCTTCGTTTCTCCCTCGTCCGGACTCCGAATCAGTCGCCGTTTGATCCCAGACGCTCGTAGTCTCGTCCTCTTTCGTTTCATAACAAGCTTGAATGATTATTTGTCCATAAAGTGAGGTAGAAATCCATTCTTCTTCAGGTCATGCCCGAGTTTCTTCTCTCGAATCGTCAATTGATCTCTGATTGACTTGAAACTTGCGCCTATGCTTCACTTTATGTGCTAGGACCTGAAATGGGACAAAGGAACACAACCTAGCATAAAATAGGCCAAAGACGCAATAATTCAAGCTCAAACAATCAAGAAACAAAGGGGAAAACATGTGCAAATACCGAGTCATCATCTTCACAGAGGGCTCAGGGAAAGCTATTCAAAGGGTTCAAGGGATATTGAAGGAATTCCATACTATTTCTGGCCTAAAGTGCAATCCAGGGAAATGTGAGGTATATTTTGGAGGGAAGTCTGTGCAGTTTAAGCAGAATGCTTTGCAATTGTCAGGGTTTGCAGAGGGAGATCTACCTGTAAGATACCTGGGTATGCCTCTAATCTCAGGGAAGTTGCCTTCTAGTGAGACTGACAAGTTGGTAGCCATAATTACAAAAAAGATCAACTCCTGGATATCAAAGAAGCTTAGTTATGCTGGAAGGTTGCAACTGGTAACGTCAGTATTGATGGCACTCTTCAATATTGGATGCAGATCTTTATTTTGCCCAAAAAAGTGATCAAAAAAGTTAAAATGGTATGTTCAAGGTTTCTCTGGCATGGGGGAGAAGAAGGTCGTGCTAAAGTGAGTTGGGAGAGGATGGCAAGGCCTCGATTGGAAGGAGGTCTACCATTACGTGAACTAAGT